CTTCCCGTCTTAGCCACCGACTCGAGTCCAGCGTCCACTCCTTCTACCGCTCGTCTCGTCTCCCTTCATCCTTCCTTTCACACCTACACCAACCCACTGCTCCAGACGCCTACAAACATCGAGCATAGGAATTCTTCCTGCCCCTACGCTCCTTCAAGGCGACGTCAGACACGATCTGCGATAATTCTCCCACCCATTGAATTGGGTTACCATTGGGATCCCTTGGCCCAGTCGAAACTGCGCCGCAAGCCTCATATACATATCCAACCACCATTGTATACACACAAACAGACATTGCCGAGTCGCACGTTATCTGCACCCAGCCTTCCAACGCGCCAGTGCCAGGTCTATCGGGACTTCGATATACTCGGTTCACTTTCCTTCAGCAATCTGTCTACCTGTCTTATTCATCGATCGCCAAGAAGGGCACAGGTCGCAAGGATTCTTGTTGATTTCGAGCCACCACCTGTGCACCATCTTGTTTTCTTTCCTACATGCAGGAGTACAAGACAGTCACTATGGACTCGAGGCCGGCATCCCATCAAGTCACTACCGTCGCAGCAGTCTTGAACCCGGACGGAAATCGCGATTCCGCTTACTTTTCCAGTACTGACAGCAAGCGTATGCAAGAGAATGCTCAGCGAGTGGTTCATCTCGAGCACATGGCTGACAAAACCTCACAGACAATTCGGCCGCCTCCAACATGACCATCTCGGTCCTCAGCCCAACCAACTCCGCCCACCACTCCTCGTCAGCCGACAAGACGCCTTCGCCAGTCGCCACAGGCGCCATGCCCCAGACTCTGGTCTCTCCTACCCAAAGCAACATGAGCGTTGCGTCCATGGTGTCCCCAACCACACCCGGCAGTGCAGACCCCCGACGGGCCGATCGCCCTACCTCGCTCGAACACGGCCAACCGAATGGGATGCTCGATCCAGTTATGCAGGCCGCGAGCCGTCGTGAAAGTGTCGACAGCAGGATGAACCAAGGCTTCAGCGACATGAGGCTCGGCGCTTCTTCTCCCTATGCGACTCACAATCAATCGACTTCGTCAATTCAAAATACCCTCAACCAGCAGCGAAACCCACGACCGGGTCTGGAGAATGTTGCTATCCACCGCATTTCCAATGGGTACCAACCGAGTGCGGAGAGGGAGCCTCTAGCCAAGCTAGGCAAGACTGCTCCTGCGATCACAGGACCTGCAACAAGCCAGATTGCGCGAGCCGCTGAGCCTACGAAGGGCCAAGCCTGGGCCTTCCCTGACGGCGACGAGAGGGAGGAGGCGGCACGGTACGGCCAACCGTTGCACAACACAGCTTTCCTGGATTCTCGGCGCAGCAGTGTCACCGAGTCGATTGCTAGCAGCCAGTTCACTACGGAATCTAGGTTGCCGCCTGGTCAGCGGAGACTGGACGAAAACGCCGAGTACAACCCCATGGCTCATGGTTCAACAGACTTCCCACCAGTGCATCACCACTCCCTGCAGCACAAGCAACTGGGAGACCTCCAGGACGAGGATGCGGAATCGAGAGCTGGTGCTCAACCATATAGCCGTACTCCAGAACTTCGCAAGAGTCACAAGCTGGCTGAGCGGAAGCGAAGAACAGAGATGAAGGAGCTGTTCGACCAACTCCGCGACTTGATGCCCCAGGAACGAGGGTCCAAGGCGTCGAAATGGGAGATTTTGACTAAGGGTATGTACTCCTTCTTTTCACGAGGCAGGCTGGAATTTGCCACAGTGCTAACGATACGTAGCCATCACCGAGCACCAGCGAATGGCGGATGCCGTCCGTGTGATGCAGAATCAAAACGCCTCTATTGCGTCAGAGAATGACCAGCTGCGCCGGGAGAACCACGCTCTTATGCTTCAGCTGCGAGGCCAGCCTCCTCAACAGGCACCCCCTCCTCCACCTGCGGCTGGCTACGCGTCAGATCCCTATGCTCACCGCCCAGAGCTACCTCCTCTGCGCGCCCTTAACGGCGGCCCTCCCAGCGGGCCTGAGTCAATGACGGGTGTGCAATACGATGCACCGCGTGCCAACGGATATCGGCCTGCAGAGCGGTACTGATCGTACACTTGTCCAGCTTTCTCAGACCAAGTCGACCACAAAACACTACCATTCGAGCTCACATCTAATCCATTGGGCAACATGGGTACCTGGTTATTAGACCAGTCTCGACCACTTGCCTCGACGTCGCAGAACACATCTGCGTGTTCAATTATTCTTTTTGTTTGTTTTCATCATGGCCCCTCGGATGAGGAGGTCTTGCAGTCGTTCGCCAAGACGACTTTAACAACGCTACGCGGATTCGGGGCATTGGAATCTCTATTTTTTTTTGTATGTGTCAGTATGGGCTTAATGCAACTGGGGTGGGCCTTCGGAGTGAGATGTGGGACCAAGGAGGGTGCGGCGAACTCATTCTTCGGAATCCCCAGCCGTTGCGAGGCCAAAAGCTGGGATGTTGGATTCCGTCCTTTTTTTTTTCCTGGTTTTATGCTCTGTTTTGCTGTCGCGAAAACTGGGGTAGAAGGCACAAACGTGGACGCCATGTAGGCCCTTACACGTCGAGTGAGGGAATTGATGGGGGAAGGGACAAGGAAGGCGGCGGTATATACCCATGTGGCGATCTCAGGGGGTCGCCTTGATGGCCGAAGCGTGTCCGCCCTGCGGCGTATCAAACGTTTCCAGGGCAGCTATCATGGTTTCAAAGGTCACGGATGAGAAGAAGGGACTCGTGCGATTCGTAGAATAACCTTGCAAAAGTGAAGGGCCGGCGCGCTGGAGGGGGGGGGGAGAAGCACTGGAGTGGCCATTACTCGTTCTGCCTTTGCTACGATAATCGTACAGTGCTGTTCATCCGTCTCTTGGCTATGGTCGTGAGCAATAATTTGATGTGAATTAAAGAGACAAGTTGCTGTCGTCAAAGTTGATATGGAAGCGGATGTTCCAAGCGTCCGGCCGGTATGCATGTGACGTGGGTGCATATGCATCTGACCGCTACTTGCTCTTATCGATAGCGCCAGTCGCAGCTGAGTCTAAAATTTCATGGCTCCTATCCGAGCTTTGAGATACGGGTGCAATTCGATCCTGACATCCCCCAGAGACGCTTCTTCCATTCTACTTTACCACAACACGTCCATCACAATGTAAGTTTGTTTATTCGATCCAAAATCCAATGACCTGTGTGACTAATTTCGCCCCTCTCACAGGCATTCCCTCCGTCACGCCGCTCTCCGCGCTGCCGCATCGGTGGCTCGCGCCCCCAGCGCACGAAGCGCGCCCCTCGCCTCCCGTCTCGCTGCGTCCGCGCCTTCTCGGTCGCTGCTCCCCGCTCCCTC